GTACTCACCAAAGCCTTGCAAAACAAGGTTCATACTTAGTGGGGGTAGGTACCCACAAGAGTCTAGTGAAATACAGACTCGTACCGGGTGAGGATAAGTACTCACCAGAGCCTTATAAAGTAAGGCTCAAACCAGATAGGGGTTGGTACCTATCAAAAATATTTATCATCCGGATGATCAGCAAAGAAGCATCTGAAGGATAACCGGGCAAAAGGGTTAACTCCTTCCCCTGCCATCTAATTTTGTCGGCATATTAAACCAACAAATTAGGCAGGCAGGTGAAGGGGGGGTAACTGTAGACCCCTAATTTTGCCCGGTCTCTCAATAAAGGCTAAAGAGACTTCCTACAACAAGATAAAGCTCGCCTGGCATCTCAATAAAGCCCAAGAAGACTTCCTATATGAAGATAAAGCTTTAACGGGCATTCATCGTCACCAACCGACGTCCGAATAAAGAAAGGAAAGCTTCCCAGGGGTCTCAGAACTCAAAAACTGACCAAAACAGGTCGAGACCACCGTCCCAAAGTCGAGACGGTTGTCCCAACCTTCTCTGGCCAAGTGGGATGGCCGTCCCAAATGAGACTGCCAGTCCCAGCTTTCAGGGGGTCCTAGCATGAGTAAAAGAGGCAGTTGGGGCAACCGTCCCAACCCAGACGGCCGTCCCAACCCAGAGGGGCGTCTCAATGTGTCAGGCAGCGAAAAACTATAAATAGGAGGCTCATTTGCCACTGTTTCACACACCAGACAACTCCCAGTAATTGTCTATTCTCTTCCCTCTTCGAATGAACTCTCTGATTGCCTTAATAAGGTAACAATCAGTTAAGGAATCATATTCCAGCATTCGATTCTTCTGTAAAATTTAGTAGAGTCAGTGTTGTATTCGGAGAAGAGAGTCTTTGTAGAGCGAAGGATTGCCAAAACGCATCCTCACGATTAAAGATTCGCAATATAAAGCTTGCTACAGAGGTTCTGTTCAATTCTCTTCTCTTTTACTACTTTTATTTATTGTTTTTTGTATGCAATAGTAAATAAAGTCATGTAGATAACCATTTTTAAACATTATGCAATAAAATAGGGTAATCGTGTAATTTCTCGTAATCTTTACTTAAATGAATTAATCCATCATAGGGAACCCGAAAGGGGCGTTGTGGGGGTGCTAACACCTTCCCCACACGTAACTAACTCCCTTACCTAACTCTGGTTATGATGGTCAAGTTTGGTTTTTATTAAAATCAACACCTTTTTATCCTTTTCCAATGTTTACGGTCAAAACATTGGTGGCGACTCCAAAAGAACCCCTTTTCGAAAACCTTGCTTTTATTAGAGGATAGTTCAGTTGTTGAGCACCTCGGAAGCAATGAACACATTTTAAACAAAAACGCGAGTCTAAACCATCTTTTCGCGACCGCTCGCATAAACGTTCGAGATGTCCCTGGACGTCGGAACGGACGGCGGCGACACTCCTAATATGGTCAAGCCTGGCCTAGTGTTGCGGCATGAGCAAACTAATTCAAAAGACAATCACGTCCTTAGAAACTCACTAAGGATGAACACCTCTTCTGAACAAATCAAAGGATGAACACACCTCCTTAGAAACCCACTAAGGATGAACACCTCCCTAGAATCCCATTAGGGATGAACATCTCCTCTAAACAAATCAAAGGATGAAAACACCTCCCTGAACAAATCAAAGGGATGAACAATTTCCACACAGGAAACAAAAAAAAAAACACAACAGAATGACAGTGACTAATTAAACCCTAAACAGGGAATTTAACAATCAACCACTTAAGCCCACAAAGCATGAAGGTAATAAAATAAGAACAGTCACACCAAGATAATGAAGACAACAAATTGTAGAAGCCTATAGAATGTCAACCTCCAAGAATAAGTGTTATTAATAATGAAAGCACAGTAGGCAATGGAGAAGAGGGTTTTAGTAAAATATCTATGTGGCAATGGAGAAAAGGGTTTTCTCAAAACATATAAAATATCTCTATTGTCTTGCTCGAATTCTTTTCTCAAAACTGATTGAATGTAAATTGTATTTTCGAATTTTGTAATTGTGTGTATTTTATTTTCTATCAAAACTTAATTAAATAGAAAAATAGTATCAAAAAATAGTCGTTGGATATTAATATTTTCGTGGATAAAAAATTAGGATGTAATAAAAAATAATTATTCTTCAAAACAGATATTTTTCAAATTTGAACTACCATAATCGATTATGACAGAGAAAATCGTTTTTCCATTTCTGATGCATCATAATTAATTATGATAGTGAAAAAAGTCATGTTATAAAATTTTATCACACTTGTGCTTTGGAGACTTATGCATAATATTACTTTATCAACTTGTACTTCCATATCTAGTATTCTAAGACTCTATCTAGTCTTCAGGAATCATCTTGGGCTTGCTTGAATGTTGAATAGAATCTTTATCAAAATCATATCTTAGGCTTGCTTGAGTCTTGAATGTTGTTAACTTGAATCATCATCAAAATCATCTCTTGGGAATGTGGGGACATGTTTCACATTGCCATCAATCTCCCCCTCATTGCTTTCACAAAAGAGGAAAAGTGAGGAGTATTTGATGCATGTCATTTTACTCTATTTCTTGATCTAAGAGCATTTTCTAAGCTAATTATTTTATTCATAAACGATGCATATTTCTTTTTCTTCCATTGTAGGAGAGGTAATTTGAGATGGGTCAAATTGATGGAAATAAATGTTCAAATTGATGTTGTCAAGCTTCATTCTTCTCAGAAGTCCAAGTTTGCTTGTGCAATCCACTTGCATAATGTTACAAATGGAAATTTTAAAATCAAGCAATTTAACTGGTGCAGAAATCTAATTTAGCTTAATTAAATGCCAACAGAAATTAAGAATTAAATGCAAATCAATGTTAGATCACTCAAAATAGGAAAGAAGTATTTTATTTTCTCCAAATAAGTTATCTCTGCACAATAATCCGATTTTGCAATTTTTTATTTAGAAAACATTTGATTTTATTGTAATTAATTTCAGGTTTAATTTCTCTTGTTTAATCCCTTATAAATAGAGGTCTTATGACAACAACACGATCATAATCTCCTAGCCCCAGGGTGAGAACTATTGTTTTGTCTCGTCCCTATTTTCTTTTCCTACTCTTTGTTTTTAGTTAGACGAGCACATTTATTGCTACTGCACTTCTGATTTATTCTCTTTTATTTAATTTGCAATTTTTATTGAATTTTTCAGTTTTGTTCTAATTACTTTATTCATTTAGTGCTAATTTCAATTTCTATTATTTAATTGTTTAAAATGTTTATTCCAAGTAGTGCTTAATTGTCATTTTCAATTCATTTTATTTTCAATTTCAATTCTCAATTTAGTTGTAGAGTTATCACTTTCAAAAATTTCAAATTTAATTACTTGTATTATTTTATTTTAAAACAATTATTGGTTCTTGTACTTTTAATTAAAAACACCTTATTTTAATCTTATAAATTTCAGTTATTTTAATTCTGTATCAATTTAATTTAATTACTACACTATTTTTTTTCAAAGTAATTTTTTATTATTGCAATTTATTTAATCTTATAAATTTTGGTTATTTAAATTCTACTCCATTTAATTTTAATTGTCGTTAATATTTTCTAGCAATTTGATTTTAATTTTTATTATTTTGTATCAAATTACTTTTCGTTCTTTCTTTTATTCTTTATTTACTATTTTAGAGAAAATGATATGTGATAATGACTATATTCCTATTATTGTGCCCTTGTGAGATTCAATACGGGTTAGTTATACTACATTACTTTAGCAACTTATTTATTATTTTTTATCCTTATTTTTGTGTGACAAAAATGTTGCTATCTCTTTAGAATAAAGTACAGATGATTAAATAAATATTTTTTTCTTTTAATGTAAATATATTACGTTTTTATTTTTATTCAATCTAACATTGAGTATTTTTTAAGTAATTTATTGATCAAAGCACACCTTCTCTTTTCCACCTTATTTTGGTTACATAATTAGTAAATAGGCATCCTGGTAAAATGCGTATAATTTTTAAATTTAAATGGTATAATTCTCAACTTATAGTTGTAAAATTTGTCAAATTGAATGTTTAGTGGTAAAAAATTAAGATAAGAAAAGTGGAGAGTAAAAAATTATTATTGTAAAAAAGTAAGCGAAATAAATAAAAATTATATTATTCAATAATAAAGAAAGTGACAGTGAAAAATATAATTATATTTTATTTTCGACTATATAATTGATGAGAGTAAAAACCATATAAGATAATATAATTTCTCTCAAATAAATAATAATAATTTTTTATTTATAATTTTAATTTATATATATATATAATTTTAATTATTATTTTGATAGAATATCATAAATATAAAATAATACAAAAATATTTTTTATTTTTTTTGTAATGTGACGTGGGTGTGCGTGCGCATTTTTTTTGTGCGTGTAAAAGGATAAAATTAATGTTTTTTAAATAATAATTATGATACATTTGTATTTTAAATATAATTAATTTTTTCTATTTTTCTTACATAATGAATTATTTTGTTAAATTTTTAATTATAAAGTCATTAGTTTTTTGCTATTTAAACCATACAATAATGTATATATGCTTATATCTATCCGTTTAAGTGCTGAGAGAAAAAAAATAAATTGAACTTTTACATTATTTAAAATATTGAAAAGCAAAAAAATTGAAATACTAAAATCGCACACATATATATTGGAGTGAATCTAGTGACCAATTACATTTTTAATTGTTGTATAGAGAATATGTGAAGGGAGAGTTAGAGTTTAAACACTTAAAAGATGCAAGAAATTGAAAGTTAATGAAACAGGGTACAAGTATGGAACAAAAGCATAAAAACACCTCTTTATTTAGCAAAAGCAAAAATTACAATAACATGTGCACCACATAAACAACATGTGTGTTCTTATGTAATCACTTATTGCATAGAAATTTACTAATGCATTTTAAATGATAGACCTGATCCACTTAATTTTTCTTCAATAACATTAGATAATTTTTCCATCATAGAGGGAGAAAAATAATTTATCCAATCTCCTATTTTTCCCTTCCGAAAGAAGTTCTTCTTCTCTGCGATATTGTCTATATCTCCTGATTTATTCACTTCCAAATCTTTCATCTTCTCAAACCTACAGAGTTTGATTACGTTTTCAATCATGCTGGTACTCTCTCCTTCTTCATTGATACGACAACCCAAGAACTCAATAATTCTTTTCACATGAAATTCAGTATCCTCTTTAAGATCCTCATATTTCAAGAACAGAACTTTGTTTGGTCTGGCTATACTCTCCTTCCAGTAACATAACATATGACTCCACCATGGACCAAACCCCATTATCCCATTGCAATATTTCTCAAAGGCTTCCTCGAACGTTAATGCAGGTAAAGACACTAACTTCATTTTAGTAAAGAATTCCCATGCTGAAACAAAAATATCAAATGGATTCCTACATATATAAATGATCTTGCAATTAGATTTTGTGATTGACTCGGGTAATGAAGGGAAGGGAACGTGAGTACCAAGAAGTCTTGGCTCACTCATGTTGGAGAGGGAAAGAATTTGGTTATCGAAATCACGAGACAAGATAAATTCAGGGAAAGACACAAGCTCATGAGGATTGGAAGTAAGTAATGGATGGTGCTCGAAGGAGGAAAACCGTTGATTGTTTACAATAACAAAAGTAAGGGCTTTCAACCAGGTAGTACCTGATTTTGGAAAGCTGGCAACAAAAACATCATTGTCTTCTGCATGAAAATACTTTTGAAAATTGTCTACTCCTTGAATATAATATGATGGGCACCAAAAATCTTCAAATAGATGGAGATAGGGGGCTCCACCCAGACCTCTCTCTTTAGGAAGGGAGAGAATAAGCTTGGTTTCTTCATTTGCATGTTTCTCACTTGCCAAAGCCATTAGAACAGGTAGAATATGAATTGGTGACTTATGAGTAGAATTAGATGGAAATATAGCTTTTCACGGATAGATTTTATAGCAGTAATTAGTGGTCCAAGTTCATTAAAAGAATCAAATAAATACATAAATCTGTGTGCAACATGCAGATTTTTGTTTTGATAAATGGCAGGCACGACCACAGACTGTCACTTTTTTGGTAACACAAGTCTTTTTTAAGTTCTAAAATATTGAAGTTATCTGCATAGGAAATTGTTGGTATCGAGTAATGGTTAGCTTAAATGATTTTATTGCCACCACCATTATTGCTAGACCTCATCCATCCAAATACTGTCTCTTTAAAAGACAGCCTAAGAGCATCGGATTGCAATACATCATTCATTTTTCCTTTCCTTTTGTTCATACAAATAACACCAAACAATAAATCTTTACAATAATGCAGTTGTTTCTAATGGCTAACTTCAGTATAGTAAACAAATTTTTGTTTGGTTTGATCTAATATACTTGTGTATAAATTCTTAATCTTTTAACAAACAGTGTATCATGTTCTCTTTCATACAAGGATCATCACTAGCACTCATGGAAGACACTGCACAAATAGAAGGAGTAATTGATGATTAATGATACATGGGATGAAATGGGGTGTAGAATATTGAAAAATTGCCATATTTGGACTATTTTGTCGAGGGTAAATTTTAGACATTTAATTTGGAGTAAAATATAGCCTAGCATTTGATAGCTTTTATGACAGTAATTAGTGGTCCAAATTCATTAAATAAATCATAAATATATAAATATGTGTGCAACATGCAGATTTTTGTTTTGACAAATGTCAACAATGATAAGCATGTACCACACGTACTGTTACCTTTCTCCTATATAAAAACTTTTTTTAGTTTTAAAATATTGTAGTTATCTGCATAGGAAATTGTTGGTAAGGAGTAATGGCATGAGAATATACTTATTATTTTAAGAATTTAATTATCAAATAAATTATTATTTTAGATAATTAGATTAAAATAAATGTAACAATCAAAATGATGGGAAGACTTATTTAGAGAAAGAAATGCAGTCATCATATATATTATTAAAGAAAATATTAGAAAAAGATAAAATTGATCAATGAAATTAATTTTGAATTCGAATTCGTTTGAAAAATATTAACACTCTAATCATCATAAAAGATGGTTATTCTAATTTAGTTAAACTTATTATTTGTATATTTAAAATATTTATCTCACTAAAAAATAATTAAAAATTAATTTAACTTTTATACCATATAAATATTATATATATATATATATAATTATTATAAAAATAATAATAATTATTATTATTATTATAATACAAATAAATACTAACATATCTTCAGGTAGAATGTATCATAAACAGTATTTATGAGTTAATAGTTTTTAATTTAATTATTATTTTAATTAAATTAAAGATTTTTTAATAATCACACCTCGTATAAAACAATTACTTTTATCAAATTATATCAAACGTTATATAATTTTTTTAATAAAGATTATGATGGGTAAAGCATATACATACACTAGTATAAAATAGACAAAAAAAATGATGCTTTTTTTAATAACCATTATATCTAAATCATTGTTAAAAAATATACAATCATAATTTTTAAATTAATTTTAATTTTTTAATAATTATTATATTCATCATCATATACTATTCTTTTATAATCATTGTTGTATTTCTTTTAATGATAATTTTTTTATAATTATCCTGATATATCATATACGACGATGTTATAAAAAAAACTGTGTCTTATTGGTTATTTATAAAATTATTGTAGTATATCTCATTAAAATTTTAAACTTTCTTTATTCTATCCATTTCATCTTTGAGTTTTTATTTCTCTTTTCTTCTTTACTTTTTTTCTCTTATCCTCTATTGCAACTTTTTTATTCCTTTCTTAATTGTGATTAAACATTTTTCTTCTTTTTTTCCCTTTTTTTTCTTTCTCAAAGTGTTTCTCTCCACCCTATATTATAAATGTCTTTATCACATGTCTTCAACATATCTACTGGACGCGTTAAAATTGAGTTAGAAAAACAATAATAAAAATATAAAAAAAAACTTACAGATTTATTGCGGTGAAGCAACAAAAGTATAATAAAAAAATTTGTTGTGGAGGAATAACAATGAAGCGACAAAATTATCGTGGCGGAACTTATAGATTTATTGTATTATTTATCTATTTGTTGTGACGATAAATTTTTAGATTTCGTGTTTATTACAACGAAGTAAGTAGATATGCTACAACAAAGCAAAATAAGATTTTTATTATAAATATAATCTATATAGACACGATTCAAACTCGTTATTAATTTATTAATTTTTAACAAATAAAATAATACTAATTAAAAAATTGTTGTTATGAGTTTTTTTTTAACCATCTTCTAATAGTAAAAAATAGAAATATATATAGAAGACTAAAAAATAAAAAAATATAAAAAATATAACGAAGAGTCATAAAACTAAATTAAGAAAATTGAAAAAAACAGGAAAATTGGTTCACCATTCCTAAAGAAAACTCATAACATATGAAACTGGGAACAATGATTCACCAAGTCACTATCCATACTGTGATTGGCTTGGCTATCCGCACATGTCTGCATAATAGAGTCAAAGATGCCGGAAAACAATATTAATTTTAATCCTGAAATGCTTGGAGAACAGTCTGGAATCACACTCAAAACAGATCTTCCTCCAACTAAACTTTCTCATGGTCCAAATCAACAATAATTACGTAAAAGTTCATCAGCAAGAGCACTGTCATCACCCATACAAACAGAAAACCCAGAAAAAGTTTCTTTGTGAGTCACAAAAGAGTCAGCCATCTTTCATTTTTAAACACCTAAATAATATTTATAATTTTTTATTTCTTTCTTTATGTCCAATCATGTCATTTTATAATATTTATAATCTTTTCCTCTTATTTGAAGTGTCAAGTAATACTCGACATGCTGCATTTACTCGAGAATATAAAACTGCAACGTGATCTGAATCCTATACTCTTTAATCATTCTTATAAATAAAGCAGTGTTGTAATTGATTGCATTATCAAATGTTATTGCTGCCAAATCTGAGAGCATTTCTTATTGCCATTTGAATTTGAACCTAAGATTTGACATTTGAATATGAGCTTTATAATTAGTTATCAGAGTGATTAATGAGCAGAACAATAAGTATTTGATGTTGGATTAGAATCAAACCAAAATCTATTTTAATATTCATTGAATTGAAGGTTTGATTAAAACATTCAAGTATCTCAAATGATAGGGAAAATACTAATGCTTCACGTATCTTTTTGACTGTGGTACACAATATCAACACGTTTTGTTATTTTTCTTAATATTAAAGGCAAAGTTGTTGCTATTTATTTCATAAAATGAAAAGGATTTTTTTACACCCTAATTTTTTCAAACATCTTATAAATAACTATAAAATACTATTTGTTATTGAAATAAAAATAAAATAAATAAATAATAATATAAAAAATTAAAAATAATTATTAAATAAATGTTTAGAAAAAATAAATTATCAAGATATCATAACCCTTCATTAAAACTATATACTAAAAATTCAAATCGACCAAATAAAATTCTATTGGAGAAATGCTTTATATATGTTCTTTATCCTTACTTTTTTCTTCTCATTTTTGTATAGAGCAATATCTATAATGAATGATATTAGGTTAAACTATAATGATCGTTTTTCTTGCTTTTTCATGTTGATTACTTTTATTTCATGGATTTTGCTCTAAGTTCAAATGTTCTGTCGTCTTCCTTTCATTCATTTTTTTAATGATGTGCTTTACCACATCATAGTTTCTATTGAAAAAGTAAAAAAAAAAAAAAAAAACACAGGAATTATGGACATATATTTTAAAAATACTAAAAGTTCTTCAATTTGAACCACTATACGACACTATAAAATATATGCCTTATTGAGGTAAATTATCATCAAACTTTCACTGGCAAATTATCCTTCATATTCTATTGTCAGCTACTCCAATGGCTTCAAAAGAAGGGCATCAAACATATGAGGAAGAGAAACTAATTCAGTCTCTTCCCAAAGAGAGGGGTTGGGCATCACGCTATCAATATCTATTTCAAGGATTTTGGTGTCCATCAACACATATTCAGGGTGTACACAGTTTTCAAAAGCACTTTCAGGCAAAACACAATGATGTCATTGTTGCTAGCTTTCCAAAATCAGGCACTACTTGGTTGAAAGCTCTTACTTTTGCTATTCTCAACCGTCATCGTTTCCCTTCTTTAGAGTACCATCCATTACTCACTTCTAATTCTCATGACCTTGTGCCTTTCCTTGACTTTATCTTTCATGGTGATAATATCCAAGACCAACTTTCTTACCTATCCAATATGACTGAGCCAAGAGTTTTTGGTAATCACGTTCCACTCCCTTCCCTGCCCAAGTCAATCATGGAGTCCAACTGTCAGATAATTTATATTTGCAGAAACCCATTTGACAATTTTGTTTCATGTTGGCTCTTCTTCAATAAAATTAAGTCAAAGTCTTTACCTGAAGTAACAATAGAGGAAGCATTACAAATGTACTGCGATGGAATAATTGGGTTTGGTCCAACTTGGGATCATGTGGAAAGAAAGCATAGCTACACCAAACAAGGTTCTGTTCCTGAAGTATGAAGAACTTGAAGAAGATGTCAAATTTTACGTGAAAAGAGTTGCAGAATTCTTGGATTGTCCCTTTATGGAAGAAGAGGAAGATAATGGTGTGATCGAAAGCATAATCAAGTTATGTAGTTTCCAGAAAATGAAAGATTTAGAAGTGAATAAGTCTGAAACAATAGACAGGAACATTATTGAGAAAAAGTACTTATTTCGAAAGGGTGAAATAGGAGATTGGATCAACTACTTTTCTCCAGCTATGATAGAAAAGTTGTCCAAAACAATTGAAGAAAAATTAAGTGGATCAGGTTTATCCTTTAAAACATGTTCTTAAATATGCAGTGTGTGGAAAATGATATATATGCACCTGATTCTGACTTCTCCTTAAGTTTGAAGTAAAGCTTTTTGGTTTGGGTACGTGGTTTTTAATAATTTATTTACTCATTTTTGGAAATTCTAAGAAAATTTCAATCCTTTTATGTAGGTTTCATTCTCTGTCGATGTTATAATTTGTGTATGAAGAATATGTAAAAAAAATATGGTAATTTTAATAAAATGGATAATGCAAAGATTGTGAGACTTATTTTTTCTTCAAATGAAGACACTGTAGTCAATGCTCACTTAAAAGACAACTTTTTATTGGCATTTATTTTGTAGCAAACAATTTTAATCTTATAGAAATTTACATTTTTGTTTATTCTATTTTTAAAATATTGATTTTTTTTTATAAAAGCCAAAATAATAATAATAATTTGTTAGAGTTGAGTCTTACTAACAACAATACCATATATATATGTGTGTGTGTGTTTTGGGACTACATATACAAAACAACACAGACACAAAGTCATTAACACTTAGAAACGTTTTCTTTTGTTACCCAGAAAGGCTGAAAGCTTTGTGCCCCAGTTCATTCTTTTCATTGTTGCCTTTTGTCAAGATTATGTACAACAAATGTTTAAATATTTAATTAAAATATAATTGAATATTCTATATTTTTTTTCAAATTAGGAAAAAATGATCATTTTCAAGAAATTGAAACAAATGTTGTATAAGCTCTATTTACGAAAAATTTTACAGACATGTGTTTGCAAATTAATTTGATTTCATTTTTTTTATTACATGATAATCATGTAAACTACTTGTACAAGAATGTATTTTTATTTTAATTTAATGTAAAATTTGAAATAAATCGTTTTTGTTATTGGTTTAATTTATTTAATGAAATTATCTATTATAAAAATTTTATATATTTTAAAATAAAAATATATTAAATATATAAATATATTGTATTTTATTGTTATTATTTTTTTATCGTATTTATAAATAAATTACACAGTTTTATAATAAAAATTATATTACAATTACTATAGTATTTTGATAAATATAAATATATTTTAAAATAAAATAAACTTAAAAAAATACTTATATATAATTATTAGTTGATAAGTAATGTATGTCATTTTATTCTTTATTTTTTTATTAAAAATATTTTCTTAAGTTAATTATTTTATTCATAAATCATACCTTTGACATGTTTTTATTAAAAATATAGCATAATTTAATATTTCTTAATTTATTACATTTTGCATAATTTTAGCATAATAAATAATATACATGCATATATTAATCATGCATATTTTTTTTCTTACTTTTTTGTATGAGATATACTTTGAAATAGGTTAAATTAAAGAAAAGAAATGTCTAAATTTATACCGTTGAGTTTCACTCTTCTTAGAAGTTAAAGTTCGCTTGTGCAGCCCACTTGTGAAACATTACAAATGAAAATTTTGAATTAAACAAATTAACTGGTGCGTGATAATCTAATTTAGCTTAATTAAAGGCCAGTAAGAAACAAAAATTAAATGGAAATCAATGTTGGATCACTCAAAATAGGAAGAAACATGTTATTTTCTCCAAATCAGTATAAAAAATGTCTCTTCACAATAATCTAATTTTCCAATTCTTTATTTAGGAACATTTGATTTTATTATAATTAATTTTAGGGTTAATTTCTCTTGTTTAGTCCCCTATAACATAGAGGTCTTACAACAACATGATCATAATCTCCTAGCCTTGGGTGAGAAGTGTTGTTTAGTCTCGTTCTCGTTTTTTTTTCCTTGTTATCAGTTTCTATTTAGGCGACCTTATCTATTGTTATTGCACTTTCGGTTTGTTTTCTTTGATTTAATTTACAATTTCTATTAAATTTTCTAGTTTATATTGTTTTATTTACTTTATTCATTGAGTACTTATTTTAATTTCTACTATTTTTATTCCAATACTATTTAATTTTTATTTTCAATTCATATATTTTGCAATTCTAATTCTCAATTTAGTTCCATGGTTATCAATTTCAGAAATTTTAAATTTAATTATTATACTATTTTATTTTAAAGCAATTCTTGATTCTTACACTTTTAATTAAAAATATTTTATTTTAATTTTATAAATTTCAGTTAATTAAATTTTGCATTAATTTAATTTTAATTATTGGACTATTTTATTTTAAAACAAATCCTAATTCTTTCACTTTTAATTAAAAACACTTTATTTTAATTTTATAAATTTTAGTTATTTAAATTTTACTTCCATTTAATTTTAATTATCGTTAATATTCTATAATAATTTGATTTTAATTTTTATTATTCTACATTAATTTATTTCTTTTCCACTCTTTAAATTATACTCTATTTATTGTTATTTTAGAGAGAATAACACGTTCCTTATAAACTTCAAGTATATTACATTCAATTAATAACTTATTTATTATTTTTTATCAGTATTTTGTGCCACCAAAATACTGTTATTAATAACTAATTTTAAATATAATAAATGATTTGATGTAATTCTTAATTTAATTCAATTTGAATTAATTAAACAATATGTGATTTAGAAAAATTAGATAAAAAATCTATTAAATATTAAATTTTGATTCATTTTTAATTTTCAATTGATTTTAGGTTATTTTTTTAATGTTTGGTCTTGAAGGTGCCTATATAGGATTTAATTTGAACATTTTGTAAGACTGGATATATTTTATTACATATACATAAAAGAAAAGTTATTATTAATTAAATGAAATAAAATGTCTCTTATATGTATGGAGTGAAACTAATAATGTCAAAATCTGGAGACATGAAGAATCACGTGGAAAAGGTAAACTGAAAGCAACGTAATGCAAGACACATCAAATGTTACCGACAACCTAAATAAAGAAGAGGAATTTATTAAACACGAGGATTCTGTAGAATGCATAAACTAGGGAAAAATTAATGAAAGAGACAAATTAAATCAAATGGGACACGAAAAAAAAAACTCCTGGAATGAAACAAACAGAACAAACAAAAAAGGAAAAAAAAAAAACAAGAGAAATATAATATTTACCGAGCATGAATGAGATGGGACAATGAAAAGAAATGGTGGAGCAAATGCATTATTCATCTTCTTCTCTATCATATATTAGGTTGATCAATTATGATCGGTTTTCTTGCTTTTCAATTTACATGATTTATTTCACGGGTTTTGGTGTAATTCACATCTTCTTTTGCCTTCTTCTTTTTTTATTCTTTTGATTTATCTTTATTTTTAATGTGCTTTTCCACATCATAGCTTTTGTTGAAAAAAGTAAAAAAACAAGAACTATGGATATTAGAAAACAGAAAGTTCTTCAACTTGAACCACTATACACTACAAGAAAAAACGTTATTAGCGACCGAAAAAATCGGTCGCTAATGGCCAAAAATCGGTCGCTATTCTGTTAGCGATCGAAATGGTTGGTCGTAAAAGGGCAAGTCGCTAATTTGTTAGCGACCGATTTACATTTCGGTCGCTAAATAGCGACCGATAAGGTAGTCGCTAAAGTGGTAGCTAAATAATTTGGTTACTTATTCATCGAAGACCAAAATAGCGATCGAAATTAATATAATAAATCGGTCGCTAAATCGATGGTAAAGTTTTAAAAAATAGCGACCGATATATTCGATCGCTAATATATTTAATATAATTATGTAAATAATAATTAAAATCGATCGCTAAATCGATCGCAAAAATAGCGACAAAAATTAATATAGTAAATCGGTCGCTAAATTGGAGACAAAGTTAAAAATAATACCGACGGATATAATCGATCGCTAATACATTAATTGAATTATTTAAATAATAATTTAAATTGGTCGTTAAATCGGTCCCTAAAATTGAATTGTATATTATAATAAATTTGTAGCGACCAAAAATTCGATCGCTAATCTAACCAAATCGAAAATTTTCGTTTATAATTTTGTATATCCAATTTTACAAAATTTGTACCGCTTAATTCATCCAAACAGAACACAAATGAAAACTTAAGAACTAAAGTCAAATTATTCAAATCATAATAAGAACAATTCAAAGTCATAACGAAATAAAATGTTTCTAAACAACTACTCAAGATTCAAAATCTTAATATCATAAAATTGAAAATTAGTCCTCTGGTATATTGTCAGTGTCATGTTGACTTGTAGTAGGATGACTATTCATTTGAATATGTTGTAAAATAAGCTTCATCTCGCTCATCTCTGTTGGCGTTGGTTGTTCCTCAACTCCTGCATCTCTTCTTGAAGTGTCTTCTCCTTATTATGCTTTGCCACCAATTCAAGCATTTAACTTTTCAATAGTCTCACGCATTTGTTCAATTTGATGAAGTACTCGGAGTTTGAGTAATAGAAGATTGAGAACCCGATGTAGTAGTGAAATTTTTGCTCAATGTACCAAGTCCATACACATTTCCTTTTTTATTTTCACCTCCAACAACTGAAATGTATATTTCATTATCATCAATAGAGACAATAGGAGACTCTTGTGAAGATGATCCTTCACGCAAGTTATGTTGATGGACTTCTTCTCTACGCTGCATATATTGTTCCTAAAAATGAAGTGAAATATAATTATTATGAAGAAAACATATATTGAATAATAAACTATAACTTAGATGTTAAACATACAACAAGATAACGAGTTTTTTCATTGACCCATTGTCCAGTCTTTAATTTCTTTGTTCTCTTAACAACCTCCCAAACAGTTGGTTCCCGTTGAAACTCCGTAGTCTACACATTAAAATGAGACAAAATTCATTACTAAAGTGTAATATATTGTATTAAATTACTTATATAAAAATATAATAAACTTACCATCTTCTCAAAGTGAGATGCGATAGATATGGAACCCCCACAAGTAGTCGAGGCACCCTTATCAACGACTCGATTAGCCTTAGCAATGACACTCTTGTTTTGGAAATCTGGAGAACTCCAATGTAAGTCCAAAGATGCTCGAATAGCTGGCGGTATCCAGATTCCCATA